CAGCTGGGTCTTCGGCATCGACGGAGCACCCGCTGCACTGCGTCGATCGGCCGCCTTGCATATAAACACAGGGCCCGAAACCGAAAACCAAGCAACAAAAAAAAAAAAGAAAAACAATAAAGAAAAACGAAAAACGAAAAACAAAAAACAAATACATAAAACCAAGCAAAACAAAACAGAAACACAGGCCAAAAACAGAACCAGCAAATAATTAAATAATTTTCTTTGCCGCCTTAAATTGAATTTCATTTCATATTTATCGGCCAAGCGGCTAGACAAGCGTTAGCATTCTGCAATCGTCGGTCAGTCGGTTAGGAGCACATAATACCAAGCACTTGAGCACTTGATAGCCACCGAAACTCTTCCCCTTTGGAAAGGAAAGTGAGAGTCGGTAGTTGGATCTTAAATATATTATATATTGTTTTTGTTTTTTTTTTTATATATATATTTTTTTTATCTGTGACTCCGCCGCCGGTTCCGTTTCATTCCGGCACCGCTGCCGCCTGCTGCCTCTAAGTTCGTTCCGTTTTCGTTCGTCGGCGGGAATAGTAGAGAGAATCTATCATCACCAGAAGCGTTTTAACAGCCAGAGAGTGTGCACACACAACGTTGTTCATATACAATTTGTAGATATATATATTTACCGTTATCCGATATACGCGAGTTGTTGAAATATCAATATTCCCGATCGATTCGATCTCCGGAGATCTTACTTAGTGATGGTTAACTATTTGTTGCTACTCAAGGCTTTGGGCAAACACCGAAATGGGCTTTCTTTCCAAGGCCGCCTACATTGTGTGGGCCGTGTAAGTAGGATCAAATCAATAATAATATATATATTAACTAAATATAATACAACTTTGTGTAACTATAAATAGCACTGCCAGAAATTACTTAGAAAAGGGTTTAGCTTAGCTTAAGTTAAGATTATAATCGTTGACAAGTAAAAGTACCTAGCAAGGACTCATTTATTTAGGATAAGAAGTATATTTAAACTATACATTAAATATTGATTCATAATTATCCCAAATAAAGATTACATGAAATAATGATTCATGGGATTATCATAAATCAATATTTAATTTATAGTTTATTATGATTATAGTTTATTTATGATTGTTCCCAGACGCAATATTAAATGTATAGTTTAGTCCCTTGATTAATTTCAATAGTTTTCGTTTCTTCCTCAAAAGAACTCTTTCTTCAATCATCTAATATTTGCCAATTGTGCAGTTCCCATCAGAAAAGTGCAACTTAAGCAAAACTAGGGATCACATCCTGTTGACAAATTGCATCCGATTTATTCTTAATTTTTTTTTGTACATATTTTTTTGTTTACAATTCCTGCCCGACATTGCACTTTTTTCCCAACAATGATGCAGCCTGACAGAGATCGGGTTGCAGCAACCCATTCGTCTCCCATTCCATTCCCACGTTGCAGGAATGCGCCGAACAGGCAGTTTCTCATCATGGGAGAAGGGAGTCTCTAGTCTCTAGGATTCTCTACTCTTCTCAAGTGCTCCTCCTTCGTCTATATTACAAATTACGTCATTATGACATATTTGAGGCATAGAGTTTAGTATTTCAAAAATTGGTCAATCCAAAGCACTCGACAAATGTGTTTTGTAATATTTTGTAATGATTTCGGATTAGATTTCGTTTGCCCAAGAGCTCATATCAAATACAACTCTAATTCTGTAATAATAGTGTATAGAAGTTGAGGAATGTCATGATTTTGGTTTAGATTTAATTAGCCCAAGAGTTTATTTTAAGTACTCATAATTCTCTAAGAGGATAGAAGTATAGAAAAATATCCATATAGAAAATAATAAATGTGTAGAGTATAGTTTTTAGTTTAGAACCTAGATACCTACATATTCTTAATTTATATAAATCCCTCACTATTCAGTTATTCATTAAGAGAAACATACTCTTAAAGCTCACTGAGAAACCCCCAAAAAAGGCACTCACCAAAAATGGGTTGAGGCTCTCCTACCTTCCCCAATTATTATTATCGCCACCTTTTGTTATCATTAGCTTATCGTGCAGCTCACAGCTCACATTGCACTTTCGCGCAGTTGGAACTGGCCAGAGGTAGACATCATTGTTCAGTTGCCTGTCTGGCCTACGGGGAATTGGTATCGATTCGGCTTCGATTTGTGATTTGTGATTTTTGATTTGGGCTTTATATATTTTTTGTTTTTAGCCCCTCTTTGCGGGAGTTATTTTAGTGCGCTGCTAATTGAGAATCCATTTGGGATTTACAATCCCAACCCAACCCATCATCAAATGGGTATCTTTTCCAAGTTCGTCTACACCTTCACCATGTGGGAGAAGTACGTGAGTTTGCGGCTGATTCTAAAGTGTGTTTTCTGCGTTTTGAGACCAGCATAAATGTTTTCCCTTTTCATATATGTATAATAAAATTATAAACTATTTAACATAGTTGATAGGCCTTTGCGGCACTTTCAAATATGTTTTCGGTTTGCTGTGGGCTCTGGCAGCACTCTATATTTCTTTTACTTGATATTATCAATGCAATTAATACTTTTTAGATAGCTAGCACATGTTTCTCTCAACTCTTATTAATATTATTTCTTATAATAACCCGAAGCTATCTTTTATCACACCCAAGTGACCCCATAATATTTCCGCAGAGAGTCAGTGAACCGCTCACGATTGCATCAAGCATTCATATAAAGATATAGAAATGTGTATATATATATATATTCCTACTTACCATTGCCTATCGCGCATTAATCCCGCACAATGGCCATCGGTGGTTGTTCTTTGTGCTCTTTCAAGGGATGTGACTGTGAATGATGAGCTTTAGAACTCCATTTTGCACTAGAGGATCACTTTTCGTGCCCATTTGTATTATTTGTTAAAATTAACGCTAATTGCAGCTTCCTGTTGTTGTGTTCCATCTGGCACCAATAATTTGTTTGTAAGAATTTCAATTCAATTTGGAAAGTAATTCGACACACGGCACACACACATGGCTTAGCGGTGGCGTACACCCATTAATTGATCCGTTTCCATTTCCATCTCCCACAAACAGAATTGCCAAAAAGTGTATATATTGTTAATGAGGGAACTAGTCACTTCCGAGCGGGGCGTTAATTGCAGGCAAAACTGTTGTCACTATTTGGTCCAATCCCCTCGCTCCCCAACCCCAAACCCAACCCGAAACGCGGTTGACCGCCATAATTTGCGTTATTAATTGGCCAATTTTCAATTTTCAAGTTGAAGGTTGAAGCTGCCGCCAGAAGCAAAAGCAAAAGGCTTGAACAAAAAGCAATTTAAATTATGAATTAACTAGCTAGAATCGAACAAGTTAATATAACAATCACAATAATAATAATCGATAAGTTAAAGTCTGGCAAGAAAAGTCGGTACGATTCTAACTAAGCTTTAGCCCCGAAGGTCAAGCTGGTTGTTCGATTGCATTGATTTGGAAACTTGGCGGTTCTTCCGCCTTTGGCAGTGGGAAATCTTTTTGGGCAGACTGAATGGTTAGAAAAGAATAAATTCCCTCGAGCTGCTCACTGCTCGCAGCTCTTCAAATGATTCAAGATTGCATTCAAGATGACAAATCATTGGCCCCGCGACCTTTTGCGGTTGGTCATCATCATCTCTGGTCTGATTTCATCTCTGATGAATTCCATGCCTTTGAAGATGTGCCCCAAGATTTGGTTCTATATAGAATAAATAGAATATATACTGATGTAGCAGTCGTACAATTATGCTAATATGTTGGAGAGTCTTTTAGGAAACTAAATAGTTCGTAACTATAACATATCGATGTCCGTGAATGGGACCATACGAATAGAGTATTTTCTTAGCAATTGGGCACTATTTTGCAAATCCTTTACTCCTATTTCTATAAATATTCCTCTTGCTCTCAGCATTGACAGTTTAAAGCTAGAACTGAAACTGATTTATGAAAGCTGAAAGCTGATTTTAACAGCGATTTTTATTTAAATATTAAATATAACGGCAAACCCCAATTAGTTATACCCATCTAATGTTGATCTTTTCCATTAAATAAATTAAAATTACTTCAATATGAGTTAGTCCCTCAGTATAGTTAAGAAAATGTAGCTTTATTCTCCTGGATTTTATAAAATTATTTAAAAGAACTTTTTAAAAAAATACTATATACTATACAAAACTGTTATTTTCATACCCTTTCCAGGGGTGTTATAATTTCAGTCAGAAGCTCGAAAGGCAGTGAAGGAATCATTTCCGACCCTATAAATCATATATATTCTTGATCAGCGTTAACAGGCGAATCTTTCTAACCATTATTTCACAGGAAAAAAAATTACAATTTTTTTCAAAATTTTATAAGGGGTTACATCGTTAAAACTGTCAAAAATTGGCAAAAAAAATTATTTTTTTTTTATTTCGAAATTGAGTATGCAGATTTATTAACCTAATAAAAACTAGCATAGAACAGCTTTCCGAATTGAAATTAATGCATTTTTGACTTAGTTATGATCGATCTAAGTTCGATCAATGATCCAATTTCAAACTGCAAAGGTATACAAAGTTCTGCGCTTCCGAATTTAGTTTCCTTACTACTTTCTGTTAATTTTCCTTAAAGAAATTGTATTTTTTTGTATAATTTAATTATTAATTTATGAAACCTTACTATATTTTCAATATGCATCCATGTAAGTCCTCCCCTGCTTCTTCACAATTCCTAGAACCAAAGTGCAAATGCGCACTTATCTCCTTTTGATGGCGGTATCAGCTGCCCACGTTTTGCTCGTTCGGTTTGGCTGGCATCCATCCTGCCTGGCCAATAGCCATCATCATTATATTCCGCCGTTTGGGGCTAATCAATTGTCGGCTTAGCGACGCTTACAATGGGATAGCATATGAGCGGAGCAATCAATTTCCCTGCCTTCGCGTGCGAATGACGCCAGCGGAGAATTTATGAGCTCCATGGTTAACTAGTATCTAATCTCTTTCCTGTTCTATCTCTCCCGCAGCCTGTTCGAGCAGGAGATCATGAGCTATGTTCCTATTGAAGAGCGCAGTCCACAGGGCTCGCCGGTTCTTAGTTCCCGGATGCCACAGCGGGCCCCACCGCCATTCCGTCGTGATTTTGAGGCCAAGCTGCGCAGTTTCTACCGCAAACTGGAGTCCAAGGGGTACGGTCAGGGACCCCACAAGCTCAAGTAAGTTTCTGAATTCGTTAAATTCTTCAAGATTGATCCTAATAGCTCCATTTACAGGTTGCACATCCGGCGCAGCCATTTGCTGGAGGACGCCTTCCGTCGTATAATGTCTGCCAATAAGAAGGATTTGCAACGCGGTCGCCTCGCCGTCCTTTGGGACACGGAGGAGGGGCTAGACTATGGCGGACCCTCCCGCGAGTTCTTCTTCCTGCTCTCCCGCGAGCTGTTCAATCCGTATTACGGACTCTTCGAGTACTCCGCCAACGATACGTACACGGTGCAAGTGTCACCGCTGTCGGCATTTGTTGACAACTGCCACGACTGGTTCCGCTTCAGCGGACGAGTACTGGGCTTGGCCCTGGTCCATCAATACCTCCTCGATGCCTTTTTCACGCGACCCTTCTATAAGGCCCTACTGCGTCTGCCCGTAGCGCTGAGCGATTTGGAGTCACTGGACAACGAGTTCCATCAGTCTCTGCAATGGATACGCGACAATGACATCGGCACTGGCGTCGATCTGGGCCTCACCTTCTGCGTCACCGAGGAGCTCCTGGGACGCGTTGTGGAGCGAGAATTGAAGCCGGGCGGCAAGAATATGATCGTGAACGAGAAGAACAAAAAGGAGTACTTGGAGCGCATGATCAAGTGGCGGCTGGAGCGTGGCGTCCAGGAGCAAACGGAATCGCTGGTCCGCGGCTTTTACGAGGTGGTCGATTCCCGCCTGGTCTCCGTCTTCGATGCCCGCGAACTGGAGCTGGTGATCGCTGGCACCGCTGAGATAGATACCAACGACTGGCGCCTCAATACGGAGTATCGTTCGGGCTACCATGACAATCACCAGGTGATTATCTGGTTCTGGCAAGTGATCGAGCAACGATTCAGCAACGAACAACGCCTCCGCCTGCTGCAGTTCGTCACGGGCACATCCAGCATTCCCTACGAGGGCTTCTCGGCGCTGCGCGGATCAACCGGACCGCGTCGCTTCTGCATCGAAAAGTGGGGCAAACCCAATGCCCTTCCTCGTGCCCATACATGCTTCAATCGTCTGGATTTGCCGCCGTATCCCACGCCGGAGTTGCTCTTCGAGAAGCTGCTGCTGGCCGTCGAGGAGACAAATACATTTGGCATCGAGTAGAGAGGACACACACACACACACACGTGATATTTGCTTGCACCTCAGCAGCCTCATCCAGAAAACGCTTTATTTCGATTCGTTTTTGTAGTCGAGATAGTCGAGAAATTCCAGAAAATACCTATTAAGGTAGTTAATTATGTTAAGCATACAACGCTACTTAGTTTGTAGACACTTTTGCCTTCGCCTTCGTTTGCCGTTCACTTCGAATGGAAGTTATACCTCAACAAGAGCAAACCAGTCATTAGTCCCTAAGATCTATATAAACTTGAAGGAGTCAGTAACTCCTGCTCCCACTTAGAGTCTAAGAATCCTTAGCTTGACTCCTCTGCAGGCTCAGCTCAACTTCCCAAAGAAAGGAACAGGATACATTAAGTTCCAGATAGGGCTAGAGAGGAAGAGATTCTATCGCCAATACTTAAATAGCTTGTAATATTGTTGTCTTTTAGCCTTAACTCGAATTCCAAACTCCAAAATTGAACATTCCCCTTAGATATGTATGTCTGTATGCATTTCATCTAGAAGCGTATTGTGAATGTCAGTTATTATAGCATATATATTAATATGTATACATTCCTTTGAAGTCTCTCCTTGCCACCCAAAACGTAAATTGTTTTTAAATTTACAAACAAGCCCTTAAAAATATGTATATGTGCCAGGAATACAGGTTACGACCAAAGGCAATCAAAACAATAAGAAGTCTAACGCCATAAAAATTCTTTGGAAACAATTAATTAATTCTCTAGTTTACAAATCCCAATTAATTTTCCCTTTTAAATTTCTAAATGTATGCGCGTTTCTCATATTATTTATTTTATTGTCTTTGGTACGAGCTCAATGGGATCTATATACAATATTTATAATATACAAAGAATTGGCTGCTGTTTTTTGCCTACAATTACTAACAAATTGGTCCAATAATGCGTTGCTTTAGCTTTACATACAAGTAACGACAACAACATGGATGGCATACAAAAAAAAAACAAAATTTAAAAGACAAACAAAAATATAGCTAATCAATTGAATTAATTAAATTTTTTATGATTTAGTATCGAATCGAAAGAAATAACGAAAAAGATTTGGTGATTTATTAAATAAGTTAATACGAAAGGCAGGCAGAGACAGAGGCATAGACAACAGCACCGTTGGAGAGAGACAGAGCGATAGACATGCCAGAGACGGAGATGGATGCCGAGAAAGAGAGAGAAGAAACGCTTTTTGAACTACTTATGTATTGATAAGCTGAAGATTGTTTTTAAATAAATTATTAATAAATGTGCGTGTGTATTTATGAACAAATTAACTATAATTAAAAAACAAAATAATAAATGTGAGCCTTTTACTTCAAAAGCTACTGTCTCGGTTATTTTAATTTTTTTTGTTGGGATAAATCGATCCGGCTTTTAATGCTGATCAAGAATATATATAGTTTATAGGGTCGGAAACGACTCCTTCACTGTGTTTTATGCAAAAACATAATTCTGTCGCTGGCTGAATTTTCGCGGAATGCGGCCGCTGGTCCCTTCTGAAATACCAGGCGAACAGAAGGCAGTAGATCGACGATTTGTGGATTGTACAATCCACTTACGATCCACATACGTCCCACATAGGACCCACTCAGGATCCACACAGGATCCACATACGTTCCACTTACGATCCACATACGTTCCACTTATGATCCACATAGGTTCCACTTGGGATCCACATATGATCCACATACGATCCATCCACATGCATTCCACTCATCGTCGGTCTACTGCTTTCTGTTCGCCTGGTATTTCAGAAGGGAACACCGGCCAATTTAATTGAAAATTTCGTGAAATCGGTTTCATAAATTTTCGTTTTTTACAAAGTTACTTTTGTAGGCATTTCTAAATTGATTTTTGACAATATGGACATGCATTATAGCGAACCAAGAGTTTCCCAGGATATATGTATGTATACCTGAATTAAACAAACTATTTCTCGTTTTCTATATATTTTATCCACAATTTTCACTTTTGGTTTTTGGATCTGCAAAATGCAATTTGCGTTTACATCAATTTTTATATCGATCTCTTCGCGAAATGATAACATACCATATGTAATATGCTCTTAAATATTACGCGATCATTTCTCTAAGCTAAGATTTCCTTGTTTTGTGTGTGAGTGTGTTATGTTATGTTTATGTTTATGTTTTTATGGATGTAGATCATGGACATGGACATGGACTGATCCTTGTGTATGTACAATGTCTGGGCTGGACTTAAAGATGGGCCACCTGGATGTGTATCCTAGCCAAGTGCGTCATATGCTATATGGAACGTGGAACGTAACTAATGGCTGGGAATAGAGCTGCGTGGCTTTATAGATGAGATAGCGAATAGATCTACGTCAAGATTGGTTAAGGGTGGGCTGGATGACCGACCGATCGATCGTGTGTGTACGTGTGACGTTGTGCGCAGCAAAAGCTTTCTGAAAGCAAGTGCTGTGTGTGTTAATTAGGTTTCTTTACATTTTGTTTGTCCCATTTTGTGATCAAAGAGACTTGTGGTAGTAAATCTAGCTAAATTTTTTATTACATTACACTTGAAGAAATTTGGCTAATTCTCATACATAGATATATATATATATTTTAAATAAATTCTTTCCTGGAGTCTACAAAAAATAAATAATAGAGCTATCATTTTTTGTGATTTTATGCGATCAATATATGTTTAGTATTAATGATTTCTTTTTTGTCGTCTCAAGCATTATAAAAATAGAGCATCCTTTGCATCGGGGGAGAGGTGAATATTATATTCATTCGTTTATAGATTTATCCTTTTGTTTATAATATTTTATTTGTTTCTCTTTTTGGAAAAGGCCATTGAAAGAATTGAAAATTGTTCTGAGTGAGTAAGTACATACATATCTTGTAATTATACATTTTCGAATGTAACCCAGTGGACTAAAAATATGGAAAACGCATTTAGAAACAATATAAATTTGAAAGCTTTAAAAATCTCGTAAAATGTTTAAAATCGGAATCAGAAAAGTGTGTTTACTGAAAGATATAGTTACACATATACCATTCAGTATGTTAAATTATTATCTATTTTTGAGACCGTTTATAATAAGTTTCAATTTAAATATACGAAATATTAAAAAAATCCACTGGGAACTGATTTTCTGGCTGTGTGTGTTTTGTGTGTGTGCATGACATGAGGAGAATCTGTTGTTTCCGCTTAGGGTTTTGATCACAGCTTTTACAATTCTAATGATATATGTATGTATGTGAGTGGGGATGTCGCCAACTTTTCAATTCGCAAGAAAAATGACTATATTTTATTATTATTATATGTATATGTATGCATTTACATACAAACAAACAAAAAAAACAAACATATTTATCTTATACTTCTTGCAGACACTTGTTTCTTTATATATATATACACAAATATATATATATTATATATATATATATATATATAAGTGTGTATTATGTATGTTTATATATGTAAATATTTATATAATACTTTTGCAAAGATGCATGAAGAAAATGCATTTATTTTGTCTGACATTTAATACATTTAATATATTATTTTCATATTCAGTTTAGTTTCGGTTCGAGAGAAAGCTGCCATTCATGGGATATTACATGATTTTTTATTCTTCTGTTTTTAATCATTAATTTTTATGTATATAGACATTTTTCCTTGTTATTTTTTAGTAAAAAAAGTAATACAAAATATGTTTTTCCTCGTCATATTTGTTTCCCATCACGAATATATATGTATGTATGTATTATTCCATTCCATTCTTCAATATTCGCTTTTGGCATATGGAAAATTGTAGGAGAAGAAGGCAGGTGTTGGATCAAAGGTCTTATAATAATAAGATGATAAAAGTTGTTACATCTTGTTAGTTTAAGGTCTTTGTTTAGATATACGTATTCTTTTAGTTACTAGCCAGTTTCCGATATTTGTTTGTAAAAAAAAGCAAACAAGAGCTTGGAAGATTAGGAGAGAGCTCAGCCGGCGGGGTGGGGATTATTTCTGGAAAAGATGGGGACAAGGCTGAAGAAGGATCTTCTCTCTGTTCTCCTTTTGGGGCAACAACATTGAACAGGATTTAAATTTGATTTATCTGTGTTGTTATTTTATATATAATATATCGTTATACATACTCTATATGCTGAATGACTGTCTGTGTGTGTGTGGATCTAGAGGCATTTTCTATATATCTTTTAATGTAACTAGTTAAAGTTCAGCTTCAGCTGCTTACTTGGCTGTAGGAAATGTCGCACAATCGGCGCTTTTATTTATCAATGCTGTTAAGTTACGAGAAATGCACACAAAAGATTCTCTATCGATTTTCTTTACAAAATTCTTAGCTCTTCTCTCAGACCCTCTCTCTGCCAATGACTTCTTGGACTCTCCGTCGGAACGGACGGATTGCTTTGCTTTTGCTTGGCTTGCTGGTGTTGGCCTCCAGTCCCCATTATGCCTTCGTTGTACTCTGTCCCGGTCTCCCAAGGTACATCATTACCATGTGGATCTGCATCTGCATCTGCATCTTCATCGCCATCAACTCTAGTTAACTGCTTCTGCTGCTGCTTTTCTGGTTTGTTTTATTTGTTTCTTTCTTTATTTTTAGCTACTTGTTTTTCATTTAGTTTAAATTTAATTTAAATAATGTTCTGATGCTATACAAACTATAGCTTGGTATGTGTAATAATACATATATATATATAAAAAAAAAATACAATAGATTAACGTAAATTTGTTACTCTACTCTCTCTCCCTATTTCTCTCTATCTGTTCACAACGATCATCATCATCATATCTGAAGAATCGTTCATCTAGTACAAAAAAAAGGTTACAGCTCCGACTTTCGAGAGTAAAAACATCAAATTATTCTGTGTACAAGGTTTTTTTTCCTGTCGTCCGTTTCCGTTTCCTTTTCCCTCATGGAATCCTACTCGCACACCTACTCCGAGTCCTGTTCGCGCTCATCAAAGCCGGCCAGGTCCACGGTTTGCAGCATGCCGCGCGAATATGCATACTCGATAAGGGCCAGGTGACAGAACACATACTGATCGGGCATTTGGATGGAGTAGGCGCGCTGCGATCGAATCTTTTCCACAGTACCTCGTATATCCGCCGTCCCCACATCCTCCAGCCGCGATATGCAAATGTCCAGAGTTATGAATGTGCCTGCGGCAACAAGGAACATTTGAATCTGCAGCGGTATTAACAATGTGACTCTGACTTACCAGTGCGTCCAATGCCAGCACTGCAGTGCACCACAATTGGGGGACCTCGGGCATGCCCCGCCCATGTATCACCAAGAGCATGGACGAGCTCCGCCTGCTTATCACGCACCTTCTGCAAAAAGTTCAGCATGGCCATGGCTGAGCTGGGAACACCGTAATCCGGCCAGCTGGTGAACTGCCAATGTGACACATTGCGGATTTCGTCAGTCTGGTTTGAAAGGGAAAGAAGGTTCAATTAGAATTCAATCAAAACAAGTAAGAAAACTAACTTTGGGGACCCAAAGTTTATATATCCTTGTAATTTGTCATGGAATTAAAGGATTGAAGCGGAAATCAATCATAACTAAGATTAAAATGTTTGTATTTGAAGAGATATTTATGTTTTGATTTATATGACAATATTTACGACAAATCAAAGTTTAAAAAACTCATAAATCCGCCAAAAAATCATTAAATTCAATTTGGAAAGCTTTCCCATGTTAGTTTTTAGTAGGTTAATAAATCTGCATACTCAATTTAAAATTAAAATTTTGTAAATTTTTTGTGCCAATTTTTGAAAATTTTAATGATGTAACCCCTTAAATTTTTTTTAAATTTGGAAAAAATTAAATTTTGGTCGGATATAGCTAGATCGATTTGTCTGTGAATGCTGATCAAGAATATATATGATTTATAGGGTCGAAAATGACTCCTTCACATTGTTACAAGCTTTTGACTAAAATTATAATACCTTGCCAGGGTATGAATGTCGTACAATTTAATATACAACAATTTTGAAATAATGACAATGTCGCTTTTTACGATAAAATAGCAATACTTATTGAACAATATATGACAAAATTTGTACATAAATCATTTGTCTTTTTATGTTGATTACAACTTTAAGATATATCAAACAGACTATGCATTTAATACAACATCTATCGACTTATATAAAGAATTTTTCGTCTTATATGGCTATTACTTACCTTTATGTTTCTTAGCTCCAACGAGGCAACCGTATAATCCTCATTGCACTCAACGCTAATTGTTCGCACATGGTAATTGCCAAACTCTAAGGAACTATCTTCAGTCGGCTCCCAGTATTGGCCGCATTTCACGCGTCCGCGTTCCATAACGCGCGTTGTCATCACTATAACTAAACACTGTTGCTCCCAGATCATGCGCCAAAAGTCCGGGGATGTCTTTGGTAATGGACCTGGAAAGTAAACAGTTCACATATGATCTATGCACTTGGAAAAGGGTAAGGAGAGCAGGTGAAAAACTCACCTTGAGTTGAAATATAAGCATTTTTCTGTTTGTAGCCATCGACGAAATTCGCGTTTATATAATCGGATGGCTCATCGCCATCTTCGTGTGCCAGCACCACTCGACTGTGATCGTAGCAAAGGACGTCTGTGTACCGATTCTTGGTCAGATTTGGTCGCATTCTGTACGGGATTCAAAGAAAGTTCATTAATTTGTTAATCTTTTAATTGGATTGAACTCACCTCGCATAGAGGAAGGTACCCTCGGGCGCCCGATTCCGTATGTCCGCATACTCCTTGATCAAACCAGTGCGTCCGCGCATCTTTACCATCTGCACAATCTGTTCAATGGGCTTGGGATCACCCTCCTGACCGGCCAGACTGTCGTCATCACTGAAGCCGGATGAGGCGCTGCTGGGCGGATTCTCTGACCAAAATTCACCACCGCCATTGGTTGTGCTTCCGCCACCGCCACCGCCGCCTCCGGCTGTTGCCACTAATCCCGCTCCAGCTGTTCCACCTCCACCTGTGGCTGTGGCAGCGGCATTAGTTGTGCCGCCGCTGCTACTACTGTTTTCCGCCACTCCACTCGTGTTGAGCTTGAGGGGATTGACAGCCGTAGAGGAGGCACTGCTGCTGCCATTAGCCTGACGCTGATGACTGGGACTCAGGCCATTTATTGTGATGTTTTCGTTGGGTTCGCTGCCGCTGCTCACAGCTGGTTTAGTGGCAGCATGTCCTGGCGCTCCAGCTGTGCCTACGCCAATGCTCACGGTAACCACGGTGGTATTGTTGTCGCCCAGCTGATGAACGGCACTGATTATCGGGGATCCCGCTGGTGCGGCCTCCGTTTCGGTGCCATTGGCTGCCGATGCTGCTGCTACTGCAGATCCCGATCCCGATCCCGATCCCACGCCCACGATATTGGCCAGCTCGTCCTCACGATTCGTCATCGATTGGCGGCAGCTGAGCAACCATGTGGCGTGCTTGATCTCCAGGGTGCCACCCAGATGAATGGGCAGCGCCGTACGGGGCACGTGGAGTGCCAACTGTGGCACGGATACGGTGAAGACTCGCTCGCGCAGCTTTTCGCGAACAAAAAGCCGCAGGATTTTAAATGGAGCCTTGAACCACAACGGGGCCGTCACAATTAGCACTTTCTTCAGGCGCGCCGGATAGCCGCCCTGTAATTGTACAAAGAAAAGGTATATTAGTTTTAGTTTTAAATATTTTAAGTCAATGAACTTATGTGAGACTAATAGGTTTTTGTAGAGTTAACAAACTGCTTGATAACAGTATCTGTGTATGCCAAAGTTCCACAGCAAAATTTATTATATCAACAGTCTCTCGGGGTCAGTACACCAACGATAACACAGAAAAGTAAAGTAAGCCAACGAGAAGAGTGCTTCATAGCTAAGCTATTAAATAGAGAGCATCTTCTCAAGATACTCTGAAAGGGTTTACTCTGCTAGACTTTTGAAATTAAATCTATAAAAGTAACACAGAATTTAAAAAATGAAATTAAAGGATACCCATGCTAATTTGATCTTCAATTAGGTATGGAAATTCACCAATGATTCAACAACAACACCAATGAATTACTGATGAATGGAATTGCAGGGTTTGTACATTCATATTTGTATTAATTAGAGATAAGTGTACATATATAAAAGATGTTAATTTCATCTGCAATTAGGTATGGAAATTCACCAATGATTCAACAACAACACCAATGAATTACTGATGAATGGTATCGCAGGGTTTGTACATTCATATATGTATTAATTAGAGATAAGTGTACATATATAAAAGATGTTTCGAAAACCTTGAAACTAAAAAATGAATTCCGAAAAACATTGCAGTGATGCAAGTAAAATTTAAAGAATTTTAATTAAATGAACGAACCAATTCCAGGAGTGGCCTTCATTTCGAACTGCGCACATCTATTCCCAGAATCTGTTGGGTTGCCAATTGTGCATACAAATTTGCGACACATTGAGGTGACATCCACGCTCTTTGAAGGCTTTTTGGAAACGTACCATATATACACATATTCACCAGCCACAATTTACACACATCTTCCATGTGCATCTGTGCATCGGGGGAAAATGTGAAATGCCACGCGTGGGCAGAAAAGCCAGAGAAATTGCTAGGATTCGACAGACCTTCCCAGTTTTCCAGGAATAAAATATTCTGAACATAAAGCTAGCCTGTAATTGACATGAATTCTGGTTAAGAGAGAGAGAGAGAGCGTTGGCGTTGTATTTGATTAATTAACTAACGAGGCTTTAAAAACGATGGTTTTAAACTATAGATTTGTATAGGTTATAAAAATAACACGATTTATATACGTAAGCACATTAAAGAAGCAAATCTGCCACCAGGTAAATTTGGTAAAGTAAAACCAACAGAAATGCATTAAGGCAACCACATTGGGAGGAAAAATGTTGGCTGGTTGGGGGGAAAACACGACAACAACCTTCACCCAGTTGGACGAATGTTGAGGAAATTTTATTGCCGCATTTGAGATACAAAAAAAACCAAGTGGAAAACTTGCCTTAATATAAAGGTGAATTGCAATCATTTTAAAGAGGTAAAGAGAGCAGAAAAGTATGTGGGAAATATATACTAATTACAATCTTTAGCTTAAATCTGTTTGTTGTGAGTTCATAATAATATTAAATATAATAAATAACCCTTTGTTGAGATTACTTTGCTATATATATTATATTTATTTATTTTATCTGTGATTTGGTACTCGAATTCGTTCTCACTGAATAGGAAATCAATTTAGTGAACCAAATAACGATATTACAAACCATTACATCTGATTTACGAATGCCTTACATCCCTGGCATAGTTATGCACACGAATGTGCATGGATATGTACTTATAGGTATATCATCCGTGACATCATTATTTAGTTTATTGGCCCCAAAAAGCAAACAAGGCAAAGGAAAAGGCAGTGCAGCAGCAATGCAGATTAAGGTCAGCAGCCAATGCAGCTGGCAAGGAGAAATAAACACACAAAAAACACAACAAAAAAAGACACACACAAAGAAAAACCTCATCAACTGCAAAATATAACCATGGTAAATGCCACAAACAACACACTCACACACACATTGTGAATGCACTTTAATTAAACGCACAATCAGTGCCAATACAACAACGTTCACGTTCAGCAAAAATTTAATTAAAATTGTTTTTCGCAGTTCAACGAAAAACAAAAACAGGAAAAAAGGAAAAAATGATATCCTGTTGTTGCCCTGCTCCTTGTTTTCTCAGTTTTTACAGCCGTTGGCTCAATAAATTCCAGTTAAATCTCTAATTGGCAACATTTTCAATTAAACCGGGCCGCTCCGTTCCGCTTTTCCTCCTGGAAAATGGTCTTATTCCTTTCCAAGGATTGCATCACAAATCACACAGATACACAGACACAACTCCTCCCCTCCCCATTTTCTTTATCATTTTCTCCTCTCCTCTTCCTTGGCTTTTGAATTTTCCCTCCCCTAAATATTGCCAGTGGGTTTTCATGTCCACTTTCACTTTGAATCAAACACACAAACACCCACACGAAATGAAAACATGAAAATTCAGGTGAATACGTTAACGGAAAGTACAGTTGTTGTCGCAGTGTTGCACAATATGAGGAAAACTGAAAGTACAGTTGATTGCAGAATGTTGCAAGATGCTAAATGGATGCTTCATCAAGCATACTATAAGATTCAATTTAATAAGGCAATGTAAACAAAACTCAAATGATTTAAATACTATTGACATTTGCTTCTGAAATTCGGTTTTAAGTACATAAAATTCGTAAGAGCTGCAAGTAAAGTTGGCCCAACAGTGTTGCAAGATGCTAAAATGATGCCACATTGATGCTTCAACATGCGTACTACAGAATTAATTTTAACATGGTTACATAAAAGAATACCCAATGATTTTAGTATAAAAAAATAAATAAAAATACACGTGAAATATATATATTCTTTTTGAAATTTAGCTCCAAGTACTCTTAAGTGTTATTAACATCGTGAAATAATCCAAATTATCCCATGTCCTTTCAGTTTTGTTAAATTTTCATACTAGAAATATATCCAATAAAGCTAATAAATAATCCACTTTCTCCCCTCCTACGCTTTCCTCCACTTAGTTGGCTAATAAATAACCAAAAGTGCGTGCCACAAAGAAATTTCAACGATTAACAATATCAAGTAAAGTAAATAAATATATTGGATATAATTTCATGTGACCTTTTCTCCCTTTTTTTTTTTTTTTTTGAGGTGCTGTTCATGACTCATAATTGGAAATACAATATGTATATAGATTTTTGCTGTAACCGGAACTATAAATTGAATACACATAGTCAATCGTTTCAGGGTCAGAGCACAGCTATTCCTGTGGTTATTCCCACATCGAATTAGAATCCTATCTATGTATGATAACTTCGCCCACACATTTCATTGACAAATACAACCCACAAAAACACAAAAACACAAAGCTTGTTGAGAACAACAAACCATCACGAACTGTTGTTGTTTGTTAGCCAGATTATTTGCCTGGAGGGCCAAGAAGTCTAAGCAAAAGTTGAATGAAACTTGGTTGCAAGTCAAGGCGCTTGTTAAATCCTTCAAGTCCTTGCTGAAAGTGGCGGAGGTGGAAGCGGAGGTAGGAAATGAGAGACACTGGCACTGGAGTTATCCTTCGAATGTGACTCGAGTGGGCAGCTTAACGTGCCTCGGCATGCGTTTCGCTAGCGATTCCCTCCATTCCAAACTTTCATCCTGCCGCCTTGGGATGATGATGCCTCAACCTGGCTCGAAAAGGAAAAACCGCGTGGGATGCTGGAGAAATTGGATATTGTTCATGATGAATTTGTGTGCTAAAATTAGGACAAGGAGAGAGGGAGAGGGGGAAGCCTATACATTGTATAACATTTAGTAGAAGTAAAGAATATTAAATTTAGCTAAAAAGAAAATTAATACATTAAACCTTTTCCCATACTTTCTAGCTCAAAATTAATTGGATGCCTTCCAGGAACTACTCTCTAGAATAATTATAATGAAAATCACACCCAAACATATAAGAAAATATGATAATTCATTTCACCCTTAGGAATTTCCTTGAACCATATAACTCAAATGCAAGACAATTGCAATTCAGAATTCTCATGAAATTTCCGCCAATCAACATGAAATTTTCCCTAGCAACCAAAATATCAAGTATACGCCACATGGGCAACCGGCTAAACTTTGTGTGAAAGGTGACCAAAAATACTGGCTTTCCTCCCAAACATTTCCCAGTCACTGAAGGCAGGGCGAAACAATAAATATATATATATACATTTATATATATATGTATAAAAATAAATATGTGAAATTAGCCATGGCCAAAATTGGTAATGCGTTTTAAGTTTGTCATCAGTTTTTGGTCATGAAACGAATTTGTCGTTGGCGTTGTCCAAAAATGGCCAAAGAGGCACGCACAGCAGACAAACCGATAAACCAAGAGGCACAAAGCAAAGACGACAGCCAAATAGAGAAAAAGGAGAAAGAAATATGTACATATTTATAGACGAAAATGTAGATATAAATATATATATGCTATATGAGAACAAAGCAAGTGAATGCGAAGACAATCGATAAATGACAATTGATTAATTAATCGAAATTTAAATAGATAAAAGGTTTATTTACAAGAAGTAACTTTAATTTGGATAGTACCTTTAACTATCCAATTGCGGCACGAATTGTTTGTCTGTTAATTTGAATCTATGATTAACCGGTAATATCTAATTGACATCACAACATCAAAATTAATCGTTAATCGGTTAGCCAATTAAATCAATGGATCATTTTATTATTTTGAGTACTTTTTAGTTGCCTAATTGAAGTACAAATGTATTTTTTTAAATACACCTTTAAATATATAATTAACAAAAGATACTTGTTGTACTTTTTTATAAATATATATATGGTTATGGTTATATTTGTTCCCAAAAGCTGAGTCAGAAAGGGTTTAATAATTTGCCAGAGCCAAAAAAATAAGCTTAGACCAACAGCAAATCAATCAATATATATATATATATATATTTTTAACAATCACAGACGGAGATATTCCATAAAACGAAATCAATATTTGATGGCTTGGTCTAAGCCAAGCTAATTGGAGAGCTCTTCAC